AAAAAAAAACATGTGTAAAAGTCGGGCTGTTTCGTACCTCCGGTCTGTGCATCGAAACGCTTTGTTGCGATGGCGTCGATCTCGTCGATGAAGATGATGGCGGGGGCGTTTTCTTTCGCCAGCCGGAACACGTCCCTCACCATACGAGGACCTTCCCCCAAATACTTCTGAACGAACTCGGAGCCGACCACGCGGATGAACGCCGCTGCGGGCAGAGAGAAAATCGGTGAAACACAACTTATTATAAAAATCACATTAAAGCCTTTTAAAGTTAAATGTATTACAGGTGTACATCACGTCCTGCTGCACGTACCTGTAGTGTGGTGAGCCACGGCTTTGGCCAGCATGGTCTTACCGCAGCCTGGAGGTCCGTACATAAGGACGCCTCTGGGTGGGTCGATGCCAATCTGAGGAAAGCATCAGAAGGCTGAACATGACCGAGTCGTTCGTGATAAAGAAATAAGTCACGTAACATCCTTTGTTTACATTTGTTGCACAGTCATTGTTGACAAACATCTTCATGCATTTCTGCCACCTTCTGGCCGTAGCTGTGTACTACAGTCTACATATATCCCCCAATGAGTCTTTTTTAAACTTTCATGGAGCTAAAATGTAAAAGTTAACATGTTTTATTCAACAGCGACTGAGATCATAAACCTATCAGGAAGGTTTTTACTGAGGTTCTCTCATACACATCTATACAATAATGGTCCTGCAGGTCATTATGAAGAATCAAGGTTAAGGTTTACACTGGCTTCACTTTCCAAACACTGACACAACGTCCATATTTTATATACAGCCTGTGGCCAGAAGTCATGTGACTAGTTTGGAGCACGTCCAGGAAGCATAGACGACCACTGCGCTCAGTGTAAATCTCATTTTACATTTTTAAAACTTTCTTTTTTAACCTTTGTGTTGCACTGCTAAGACCAGGTGTAGTTAACACTCAGCTTTAGTGTTTGTGCGTCTGGCGTTTAGCAGTGTGGACCATGACGAGTGTGAAAATATCACTTGAATATCTGACCTGTTTATAGAGCTCAAAGTGTGTGAGAGGCAGCTCCACAGCTTCTCTCACTTCCTGCTTCTGAATGTCCATACCACCAATGTCGGCATACATCACGTCAGGCTTTTGGTCTGGAAGCAGAAACACGCACAAGTTAAACCAGCTCTGATGGTTAAAGTGAACGCG